TCASAAAAATTGAACGTTTTGATGTGATATCATAGTGTTGCCATAAATTTCCTTACACTTTTAGTGACTTGTACTTTRTATACATGAGTCAAATGCTGCAAGRCYAATAKAATGTACTTTAAAACAAAAATACATGTAAGAAGATTAGCTAAGCGAGAATTAATAAGCARTTAAAGCAGTTTACCTAAAACCKGTTATATTTTAAAAATAGTTTATGTTCCAGCTTACCCAATAGAATGTACACAACTTGTTTTGCTGTATTGGAGTTATCACTAAGTTAATGAACATATTTATCAATTGTTTTCTATTGTCAAATGGTTTCATTGTAAAATGAGATTGTGAATCATATCAAACAAAACAAGATTTGTTAGACCAAGAAAAATTTTAGTGTTAATTTCTTGTTTTAGAGTGATTGCACTTAATCTGTGAAAAAGCTGTTTTCCAATTATCAATATTGGTAATAATTAGTAATATATGTTTCACTGCTTTAGTGTGTTCACTCTAATTTTTTAACTCTGTAGCTAGCACTTATAGTGATAATGAATAATTTGACAAGACATCTTGATTTTTCCAGGGTTTTAATTTCATGTTATTCTTGARTTTGTGTATTTTCTGTCTTTCCACCAAYCCAAGATGGTGTYATMGTATCCTTCACAACCCTCCACAAAGCATCTCCAGTTTCTTTACGAATTCCTTCATCATTCACAACTCCATGAGTAACATTTTTTCCAAGTTCTATTGCTTTGTTRGTAACAACAGAGGAAACTACTAYKCCACCAAGTGAGTCAGCCATAAATGCTTTCAATTRTGGATCTTCAAGCAAACTTTTCACCATTTTTATACAAGCTTGTTGTGTGTTTGTATCAAGAATCAATGTTTTGATGTATTCAAGCAAAAGTGTTCTAGTTTCTTCTTTGTTCAATAAGTCTTTTAATGTTGCTGCTGCAAGTTCTGATAKTTTCTGGTTGGTTTTGGGGTCTCTCAGCACAAACAAAGTCAAATCAACAGCCGAGTTACGGACATCTRCACGATTAAGAACGCTCATAACAAAATTACTTGCAAGTCGTGACGTCTCTGGGTCACTTATAATATCCTGGAGAACAACTTTAGTCATTTCATGTGCTTTATTTACAACATTTTCATCTCCTGAAAGAGAAAAATAATTATTGGTTCCCAAGGATGCTTATTAGGCCTTTTTTGAGATAGTAGTTTTGTGAATTTTAGTCTAGAATCGGTACAAATGTCTTTTGTTTATGCTGCCAAATATCGCATTGTTAGTACTGAAGCTAGACCACAATGCATCATGGTTTTGTATTCCCAAAAAGTCTATAGAGCACATCTTAGAATGGAACTGGTGCATTCTACTGAGTGAGGAAAGCTGGAGGATACAAAGAYATTTTATGCACCACACAGGAATTAAACCGTGATACAGACTAGTGCTATCAGCARTTAGTATTACCATACTAGTGGACTATTGCAAATGCTTTGTTCTGATTGGCTACGCTACTCGGGGTCTATTTTCAATAGTTCTTGACTAGTGAAAAGCGACCCCTTTTTGTGTATTTTTAGCAATAAAAACATTTAGTTATTTATATATTTCATTCATTTTTTGTCCAACTAGTATGGTAATACTAAAACAATTAGATCTCTCAGCCTCATGGACTACGAGCTGATAGCCCCTTTGGCCTCATGGGCTATCAGCTCGTAGTTTACTAGCCCTCGAGATCTAATTGTTATTGGTCATCCTTGCTTCTCTAGTATCAACACCTAAGAGATGGCAGCCCCGCCCCTTTTCATTGGAGACTCCCAGCCACTGTTTGTCCAYACTGAGATACTTATTGAAATGCTTTTGGATATACCCAAATGCCAGCATACTTTCACTTAGGGAATCTACCTGGTTATTGCTGCTGCATGTAGCTGGTGTAGGATAGCTTCTGGGAATTCCCAGCTCTTTACGTGGGAGGGGAGGGTGATTCTTRGTGGTGGGATGCATGCTGAGGGTAGGGTTCTTCACACAAAAACCCTTTTAATATTCGGAATATAGTAATTGCAAAATTATTATTTTTACATGCATTTAACTTAAGCTTACCTAAAGACTTCGTGGCAACCACTGCAACTTCATCAGCAACGTTGTCCCTCACTTCTTCACGAAAAAAATAAAGTGTTGTGACAGTGATGGCAATCGCCACAAGTCCCCACCTAAGCAAAGAATATCCCTTGACACGCATYCTCTCCTCGATGTGATGAAGTCTTTGAACAACGCTTACCACACTGTGATGAACTGACTCATTCTGCGGTGGCCGTTTGTCGCAAAAAAATCTCTGTTTGTCCAATCMTAACAAYTTTGYGAACTTTCCTTTTGTACWGCTGGAAAAGCATGCATAACTWATATTCAATCTGAGGCAAAGGGGGTTTCTTCTTTGATTTCTATAAGCAAACGAGCAAAATTTCCTCAATGAAACGAAACGACACCACTTGTCCGCCATCTTTGTTTTRATTGMTGGTCAGCGGTCGTYYCAGAMYGTCACAAAATACAAGATGGCGGACCAGTTCACYTGGGAAACCGATATTCAAAAACAAGCACGGTTACAATTTATTTCTGCATGGAAAGACAAGTTTCCAGCTGATAGATTGGAATCACTGTCTATGGTTTGGGTAAATATGAAGTTTTGGGGCTGCAGATATCCAACAGAGGTCGAAAAATTAGTTAAAGATTTGGAATCGAAGGCTGGTATACCAGAGCATTTACTAAAACGTCAATATTCCAAAAAAGTTGAATTTCAACCATCAAGTTCACAAAAAACAAACACATCAAGTAACTTAATAAAAAACTTTGTAATTTATGAACCCAATGACGATGGCAACTCTCAAAACGCAATCTCTGTATTACATGAAAGTGCTCAAAAGTCCAAAAAATCTATTTCATTTGAAGAAGACACTAAAACCAATAGCAGTCATTTTTCGTTTGGAGTATACATCGAAAAAACTCTCGTTGCATCAGGAGAAGCTGCAACGAAAAAAGACGCAAAAAGAGTAGCTGCAGAAAATGCTCTTAAAGTTTTAAGATCATGTCAACCTGTTATAAAGAAAAGAAAAATTGACCATGACGCTGCGCAAARTGTTACCAAGACAGAWCTTACTAAACAAGCTTATGTGAATGCACCCAGTATACCAGATAGTAACTTAGGCAATAAGTTGTTGCGTAAGATGGGCTGGAGTGGAGTGGGTGGTGTAGGTAAGTACAGCTGAGCCTCCAAATATGGTTGGATCAAAGAAAAGCTTATGCACCTATCAATGTCTTGCCCCAACGGGGGGAGCCTGGGCATACCAGAGGGCTTTTGAAATTAAAAAAAAAAATGTCAATGAGCCCCTCTTAAATTCTACATCAAATGACAATAGGCCTCTCGCTTGGTACACAATTTTATGTAAAGTACACCAGGACCACATTGCTCAAAGCTCAATGAAAGCTGACCCTGGTTTAATTCTTTAAAAAACCTATGGAGTTAATCCTGGACTAACGCATGTTTAACAATCTTTCCTGCAGTTGTAAGTGAATGAAATAACATTCTAAAATGTTTAGTCTCTGATGAAATTGTCAATAAGCACTACCCTGGGGGGATTCCTGTATCAATAAAAGTCTAACAGCTACTGTCAGGGGCTAGGTTCGTATGTCAATAGCCTGTGTGCGCCGTGGCTCCCCCCATTGGGGCAAGACATTGATAGGTGCATTATYCACGACACAAAGATTATCYTTCTGATTATCCTTTCCCCTTATGTCGTTGTGTAAAAATTGGCAAGATGCACTATGAGATTGATGTAATTACAAACTGACAGCCATGTTTATTCTTTATTTATAAATAAACATTGCTTCTTTCTTCTCAGACTTAGACATCTTAATTGATGATGAAATGATAGTACAAACTGCAGCTTCACTGAGCACTGCACTGTATTCTCAGAGGTCATGGGTTTATTCCCGTTGAAGCCCATAATTTTTTCAAGCGATCCATTTATTAGTAATCACTTAGATTATTATAATTTAACTGCAACAATCATTATTCCTTACACATCTTAATGTTCTTCCAAAACTTTCTGAAGAAAAGATGACTTTCATTTTGTAAAGACACTCTGTTCTGCATGGTTTTTAAAAGACGTTGGCTATCTTTGTGCCATTATTAGTGCCACCATGACAAATTTCTCTAAAACAAACATGATAGCGGCATTCATCATCTGATAAGGTTGAGCCAATTTTCCAAATATTAATTAAGTTATCAGTTACAGGTCATCAATGACAAGAAGGGTCATTGGGAAAAAATCATGTTTTAAACTTCCGATTTTTGTGGATTTCTGTGATGATTGATAAGCTTGGGCTGCCTGTGCCAATTTCATGGATATATTGTTTATGCAAATATTAATTACATCACAAATATTGTTTACTCATGTTATTGCTCTGCTGTTAAAATCGCTTTACAGGAAAAGAATGTCAAGGAAGAGCTGAACCAGTAATGGTTACTGGTACTGATGGTAAGAAAGGACTTGGCCAGGGCAATGCACCACAAGATCTACACAGACAATCAATAAAACAACTTTTAATGGATTTTATTAATGGATCAAACATGGACTTAAAATTCTCAACTGAGCTTGGTAAGGAAGACAGGGCTCTTGTTCACAAACTTAGTTCTGAGTTAGGACTTAGACATCAATCATACGGCGAAGGAAAAGACAGATATCTATTGGTTAGTAAAAATTATAATACTTAATATCCAAATAACATAGTAAAGTTCAATTACTGGAATTTGTTTTAAGATTTTTGAACAGAAAATAGCAAGTGTTAATAAAATGTTAAATGTTTTTAGTTGGAAAAATATGCCTTTGTTTTCTAATTCAGTTTATTATTAGTTTTCATTTACTCATTTTATATTGTTTTAAATTAAATTTGTCATATATCTAAGTATGTTGAGCATTTTGAAAATTTGATTTATTAACCCATAATGGCTAGACATGTAAAGATGCATAAGGTGTTATAGGCTATCGCTGCAAAGACAATATTCTAAATGCCCGGAATGCCATTTATGAAAGAAAGGGTGGAATACAGGCCAACGGAGATTGTTATGATAAGGACTCGGGATAAGGACTGACACTTGGACGTCGCTACTGTTTCAAATCTTTAATATATGCACCTTAGTCACGCTTGCCAAATAATGAATATTTTACAGCGAAAAGATCGCGTATTAAAAACATAATTTGTTACGCTAGAGAAATAATCACGCGATGAAACAATCGGCTAACAGTGAAACGCGCACCATGACATTTTGTTTACAAGAAAGGTTGGATTTCTAAACGTCAAAAGAGGGTCAGTTTTTAAGATAAAGCATTAAAGCTGTTTCTCTTTTCCTTTTTTACAGTCTTGTTCATTTGAAAACTATTAGWGGRATCTTTAAAAGACACATTYTTGTATAAMCTTTGCGGTGTTACAAGTCACCCAATACAACAGATATTTCCAGGCATTTGTTGATTCTCTGCGGGAAGGATTTACATCTCTTCAATGTTTTCTCGTCTGATATTTTCCTGTGTGAAGTAATTCTAAGATCATCTAGACAAGACTTGTATTGTCGAAGTTCGCTGTTCATGTTTTGAAGCATTCTTTCCAAGTGCTGTCCACGACGTTCTATCATTTTTGAACGACTGTTTACAGCGCGAAGGTTCATGTTCATCACATAAACAATCATGGACTCCAAAGACTTCTGTTCAAATTCCTTAACTTTTTTGCAGTCGTAAGCGTTTTGAAGTTTTGTTTTCATTCCAGCAATCTTTTCCTTTGTAGACTTTATCTGAATTTGTTTCCGTAAGATTTCTTCTCTCTTGTTTTCAAGTTCCTCGCGACAGCGACGGTGTTTAGAAAAAGCAGTGGAAATATTCCTTTTTGCTTGTTCTATGGCGCGAAATGCTCGACTTAGTTGGACTTGAAGTGTCCACATTCTGGTCGGTAGTTCCTTGTGAAATAATTCAAGTTGGTGGCATATTTCTTCATTTTGAGAATTTCTTTCTCTAYTCTTTGTCAACGCAACATTTGTCTGATTGATTTTGTCATTGAGCCTGGCAAGTTTCTCTGACTTCTCTCTGATTCTTTCAACAAGGTCCTTTTTTGCTTGCGACGCATTTTGCAGTCGTTGTAAAGTTTCGTCGCGTTGTAAATGTAGTTGATCTTCGTAGCGCAAAGTTTCGTCTACCTGTGTTTGAAGACTGTCCAAAGAAGCTAAAGAATCACTGAGTTTCTTTTTGCTTTTTTGTCTTCGTCGTCTAAAAAAGCTTTTACTCATTAGCCCCATTGTGAAACTGCTGTGTATTTTTCGCTGTCGGGTTTGAAGTGAGTCAGTTGAAAAAAATCCTGTCTAACCTCGACCTCAACTCGAAGTGCGACACTTAGAATTACATGTTTGAGTGATTACTGGAACAATTTTAGGATTCCAGCCATATCAGGAACAATTGATTGAATTTTGTGGTCTAAAAATGGTCAAAAGCATCTTTTGTGTAGTGCCAATTCTCAAGGGAGAAGTGCACTTTACATTAAACCAATGCTTTGCTTTAATTAAATATCATTAGCTGTCCAGTGACGACAGCATCGTCAGTGTATTTTTTAAAAGATACAACTTCAACTATGCACTCGAATTGTATTTTGGCCTCACTGGCTTTCAAGAATGTAGCGAATTCAACGCTTCAACTCTTTTCTATTCAAAGTCGTATTTATAGCCTGGAGCGTGTTCTAATTGAACTAAATGTTTTCAATTAAAACAGCTAAACAACATCAAAGTCCGTTTACGAAGTAGGACTAATTTAATATGAATTCTCTGGAAAAGTTTTGAATGGCGTAGAGATAAATTTCTCAGTTTTGGAAAGATTTTTTCACAATGTTTATTTTTAGGTTTAAGTTTTTTTTACGTATAACGTATAAAGATTTTTTTTGGTTTAGTGTTCTTCAGTGCAGATGGGTCAATGTGTTATACTTTACCAGAAACTCAATCAATCCCATCATTTTTTTTTCTGGTTGTACTTAAAACTCATTGAACATCAAACTTGTTTCAGGAGACCTAATTCTTTTGTTTTCGTTTCACTAGGAATTGAAGAGCATGCCCAACTTACCTAGGGGCATACCATCTCATCTAAACAAACCATATGAAAATAAAAACTTTCAGAAGATGACCTTGACAGTTACTATCAATTGTTCATTGTAAATCAGCTAGTCACTCAGTGAGCGTTTTTTTGGTGAGGGGGAGGGGGGGTTTGATTGATTAAATCACTACTTCAGAAATGAATTTTAAAAATGATTGTGATGCTGGGTATTGTTCCCCTGCCGTTAAATAATATTTTGATGATATTGTCTTTTCCCCTTGGGAGGTCGGTCTGCACGCTTCTAATGGTGAAATACAAGTAACAAACTGTTGCACGCGCGCAATTTCGCTCGCTACTACCACTAGCTATTTTTCACTGTTGATTTTTACGATTTCATTAAATACAAGCATCTAGTCTTCGTAACATTTAATGGGAGAATTTCCCCAAAAAAATGCTACTACTATTAATTTTGCATTATTAATTACGGTATTTCCTTGGCAAATTAATGAAGTGTAATGGCAAGAATGACAGAGTATGTCACTTTACCTTACAATATGATTCAGCAACAAATATTCTTGCGCTCTCATCGGTGGAGAAACAACCACGTGACGCGATAGCGTCCGCCGCGGAGGGGTATTAGCCAGCCGCTCCAAAAATTTTTCGTCAGTTTTCAAGTTGAAATTTTGATCAGCATACTTGATAAGAGCCGTGGTTGAATCGTGAAAGATTACAAGGTCATTCATAAAGATGTTAAAAAGATGAGGGCGACTGARGCTTCCTTGAGTGGTACCTTTGTTCACCGCTATCCACTCGCACGTTTTTTTTCATTTTGAATTACTCTTTGCAGTCTATCTTTGAGGAAGCTAAAACACAGGGGGCCCAGGCTCAACGGTTGTGTTGTTTTCACGGCGGTGTCAAAGTATTAATTGCGGGGTTCGCGGTTCGAGCCCTCGTGAAGCCGTAAATGTTTTCTACTTCATTTCTTGAGACTTTTCAAGACTTTTTCTTTCTTTTCTTTTTTCTTTAATAAGTATAAACAGCTTTATGAATAAAGATTGATTTTTGAAGCCAGAATAATATTTTCCCCCCTCGTAAATAAATAATTTACGCAATTAATACTTTGACTCCGCCGTGAAAACAACACAACCGTTTAGCCTGGGCCCCCTGTGGCTAAAATACCAATTTGTTATATAGGGATTGAGGTGCAGACATTTCAACTTTTCAGCTAGCAAATAGTGTTTGATAGAGTCGAAGGCTTTACTAAAATCCATAGCAAATACCGCGTACCGCTTTCAAGTTGCAGTCGGGGTTGTCAAGGTGACTGTAGACTCTGTTTTGAATCGAGATTAAAGCATCAGTACTAGAGACTCCTTTTCTTTTTCTATTATATAGGCAAATTGGTGATGAATGCCACTACAGCTTGTCTTTTTATAATGATTATTATTGTTATGAAACTATTTTCACTATCGGTTCTGCCATTTTGTCAGGACTTAGACATGCTCCATGACCGATGCATGGACCCTGCCCTGTCAGACAGACTACAAGTGGGTCTCAAGGGGGGGGGGGGATGTCCGCATCACGACTCGCGGCTAAAAATTTGGCTTTTTCACGCCTCACGGATAATTTTTTCTCATTTTCACGATTCACGGCTAATTTTTCAACCGTTTCACGGCTCACGGTTAACCCCATTGAGACCCTCTTAAAAAGGTGTAAGTACTATTCCTAATTCACGCTAAAGCTCTAATGCTAAAGGAAAACAAAATATACCTAATTTGCGACGGAAAAGCGTCCAAATTCAGTGGATTCACCTTTGCGGCGTCAACAAGCCGTAAAAAACTTTGCGCTCCAGATTGTGTACAGTCGATTTGCGAATTTTGCTTCAGTAGTCACACACAAAGGAATCAAGACGAGGCGCCGTGCATAAAGCTCAGTCGATCATTTGTGAAAACACAATAGTTTTTCAAATTTAACTGAGCTTTAGGCACGGCGACTCGTCTTGACGTGTTTGACTACTGACACGAAATTCGCAAATTGACTATTCATTGACTTATTCATTGACGCACGATCTAAAAGGGAACGCATTATCGTGACGGTATAGATAATTATAGGATAATCTTAGAATAAGTACATATATCAGGTAACGTTACCAACCCCGAACAGAACAACTAGAAAGGGTTGATATAAGTGAATCACAGAGGCTGATGATGGCCTTTCCAATCCATGTCAGGCTAAACTTTAGTTAACTTCTCAATATCTGAATAAGACTTCTATTAGTCGTCGATATTTTAAATGCTCAGAAGCAAAATGGTGTGATATATATACGGACATGTTTTTCATTATAGATCACTATACAGCAATTAAGAGGATTAAACAAATCACCGGGTTGACGCCTCCTGACATGAACGTCTTTCTCAAGGAACGTGAATCAGGCTATCTTCAATTTGATAACGGAAAGCAGCCGTTAGTTCGGCTACGGAAAGTCTCGTAACTTGAACGATTTGCTTCTTTTGTCTTGTTTTTTTTTCAGTATTGGTTTCTTTTTGGCTTATTCTCATTTTATCAGCTCATTTTCTTCTTTCTTTATATTTCAGCTTGTTGGTGTCTATCCTCAGTATTTGAGTCTTTTATTACTCTTGTGATTGAATAATTCAGCACCTTGGCAAGGGCTTTGCTATTCGCGTGGTTCTCCCACGATACGTCGCATCCATCTCAAGCTGACATCGGAATTTCCCTCCACATTGAAATATCTTCTTTTATACTGAAATGTAAACGATTTCAATTACAGTATATTGTTATTGATAAATGCAATAGAAAATATTAGCTATCAAGTACGAAACAACTTGGTTTTACAGGCAGTTATCCTAGAGACGAACTTTCAAAATCGCACATTTTAAAGTGGTAGGCCGTACTACAACGCATTGTGCAGATTTTAAACGAATTGCATGACATGAAATCTAAAACGGCTGAAGGTTAAGTCGATAAATATTTTTTACGCCCTAAATAAATAGACGGATAAACAAACTTACTAATATTCTACAGATCTAATTGGATCCCGTTTATATACGCAACGTTATATAACGTAAACGTTTGGCTTATTGTTCCTCGAAAGAGCTCAACAGGAAGACATCAGTCAAGGTAATAAGATCAACATCAAACTACTATGCCAAGGTTATCGGCCTTAAGCGCAGCCTGAGGTGAATACATTACATGCCCAAAGGCTAAACGCCAATATAAACTGACAGAATATTAGAACTATTTAAGAACTTATCCAGTAAAACAATATTCAATTCAAAGATACCTTTCGCCAGAGAAGAAGCGGAGCGCAAGTTATTCAACGCAAAATGGCCTGATTCAGTAGAAATCTTCTAAGCTCAAAATAGTTTTCCTCAGTAGTTTCACCTTCTATAAGTAACCTAAGTTTAATTTTTTTTTTTTTAAACGTGAGATCTTTGAAATTTGTCAGTGGCTCTCCAGTTTATACGCATATGAGAGCTCTATGTGAACACTCAGCCGCCCCGCGTAAAGTCTGTATATTTGTCGAAGTCATGCAACATATCGTTCTGAAGTGCAGCACTTATGTAGCATTATAACACAAAGTCCTAATATATCTCACGATTTTCTTTAAATGCAAGGAAGAGGGATGCTTTATGTCTACGAAATGAAAGAAAATAATGTTACTGGACTAGTAACTGAACCAAGGACTCCCTATCACGATAAACGCGGAGGCTAGTCGCTTTAGGGCCCCTATTAGGCCAACTGGGTTTAACATTTCAACGGTTCTTAACAATACCAACAAGTAATTTATACGCTTTACTGTCTAGGGTCAAAATCGATCCTGAACATGGCGGAAAGAGAAGGTCAGGAAACGACAGAAGATGAGATTCGCGAATATGACGACTTATTCAAGCGATATGTTCACTCATTTGGTCGATATCAGAAGATTGTATTGTTCGCGTCTGGGTGTCTGGTGATGCTATACTCAAGTCAGTTTGGTGCTCTGCTGTTCGTGTACGGTACTCCCAACTTTCACTGTGAAGACACAAACTCGACATGTCCTCCCAACAAATGCTGCAACAACTGCACCAGTTACGTGTTTGATGGCCCGTTTCGTAGCGTCGTCTCGGAGGTATGTACTTTTGATTCAAATACTTTTGACAATTAAACTTAAGGAAATCTATTTGTTTAAAAAAGAAAATTTATTGAAAATATCACCGTCGTACACGATAGGAAAGTACATAAAGGAAAAGTCGCTTTTGATCAGTGTTTTGCTCTCCGTGAACAGCAAAAGAATTGGTGCGTACACGCTGCTCAAAGCGACTCGCGTGGCATTTCCCTTACGCACTTTCCTTTCGTCGTGTGCGTCTAGCTTAATGAGTATATATTTCTCAAAATCATCAATTTGCACCACGGGCAGTGGTTCAAAGTCCATGGAGTCTGGAAAAGTTGGCGTTCATGTACTCAAAGCAGTACATCTCAATCCCTCATTACAATCATTTGGAGCCCCGTCATGACAACTGGGTTCTAAATCAATCAACGAATTTTACAAGCCACGGGCAGTCTTTAAGGAATCCGGAGCTATCGCATGTGGGAGGAAATAGTTGTTTCCCAAGTTCGTTTGCGCATGAGTAGACATGTTCATCATTAAATAACTTTTACACAACTATTTGGAACTGGTGTAACTTTTACCGATGATTCAAATGTCACTAACCAGTTATAAAGTCACTAATTGAAAATCACTAATTTTATGTAATTTTGGAGCAACAATAAAACAATGCAGGATTAAACCAGTTCATTCTGTTTTTTTTTTTTGCTAATCATTTCACATTCATGAGGCTGTCATCTGTTTGTAGTTTAATTTGATCTGTGACAAGGCGTACATCGGTGCTACTGTTCAAGCCTGCTTTTTTGGAGGGATGCTTGTTGGCGCCACATCCTCGGGTATCTTGGCTGATTACATTGGACGACGGAGGACCATCTTTATTACAGTTTTTATTGTGGTAACGCGCGCTTTACAATGCAAAGTGCCTAACAATTATGAAAGGTTTGCCTCAAACTGTAAATACATGAGCACAGAGGCGGATCKCGAGAYATGAGGAAAAGAGGGTGGGGGGGTGCTTTTTTATGAAGTGCACCTGTGTGCAACCCGTTTATTGAAAARTACTCCACTATTTTTCTAAACGCTCTTGGTTTTCTTTGTCAACAGATACTGTCATCAGTGTGTTCAGTGTTTGCTGACTGTGTCTCTCTACTAGGGGTATTTCGATTCATGTTGGGTTTTGGCGGCGGAGGGATTCAAGCCTCGCATTTCACGTTGGTTCTAGAGATGGTGGGACCTAAACATCGATCTTTGTGTAGTGCTCTTTATCAAGTATACTTTATTTCTGGGTTCTTTGTATTCAACCTCTTCGCTTATTTCGTGAGGGACTGGAGATCACTTATATTGATGAGTAGCGTGCCAGGGATTATACTTTATCTTTTTCTAAGGTACGTGAGTTGTCCTTGTTTTCAAGGTGAATGAGGGTATTAGTCGTAGTTTTTGGCCTATTACGCTGCCTTATTGAAGCCACATGCAGCGTTCCAATGCAATTGTATTTTACTAAACATAATATATAAAACTTTCAGAGTGTTTCCCGAGTCTCCTCGATGGCTTCTTAGCAAAAACAGACTTAATGAAGCAGAAACGATTCTTGCTAAATGTGGACGCGATTCTTTGGACCGAAATKAACTCAAAAAAGCGATCAAAGATATCAGRAATGCACAGTTTAGCGAGGAAAAGATTAAACAAGAGAAAATGTACACCCCTCTTGACTTGGTTCGTACGCCAAAACTCAGGAGAAGAAGCGGTTTACTCGCGTTCAACTGGTAAGGGAGTCCGACCCGAGCATAAAAGGTCCGGTTTTTCTCTTCTTTTATTGTTCTACTTTAAGATTCTTTTGTTACGAACTGTTTGTGAAATTTTGTCATAAACTGCTTATTCTAGCAGGCAGTTCACTAATTTAGCTAAATATTTAATTTTGGTCCGCATTATGAAAAACGCCCCCTCCTTCCCCCCTCCCTCCTCCATTTGTACGTCAGCCAGCACAGCTAGCACTAGGTGATATTCTCATTCGAGCGTTTTCTTTCAGGTTTGCTGTTAGTTTCATTGGTAATGCTTTTTTTGTGTACATTGGGAATTTAGCAGGAGATATCTATATAAACTTCTTGATTGTCAATGCTTCTTGTCCTGTTGGCGTTCTCTTAACGGGGTTTCTTCTAAAACGGTAAATCACCATTAGTTTTAAATAGATTAGATTCCCGTGTATAAAGATACTATAGTCGAGGTGAAAACGTCAAATATAGATAAGAAAAAACAATGGAATTATGGTTATGTTCTGATTATATGTCATATTCACGGCACTTGTTTGGGTTTTGGTATTGTTGCCCTTCTCGCATGGGCTCTAACTAATTAACTGCCTTGTAAACGATTTGTTTCAAAGGTGTAACAGAAATGACTGAATGGGATAAAGAAAATCGAAAGACGAGAAAACAGGAACGTACAAATTCCAGAAGTTTAATGCTAAATCTTTATTTTCCTGTAGCATTGGCCATCGTTTGACACACGCTGTTGTCCTGTGTATGGTTGGGATTCTTTGTTTGTCTTCTCTCGCAGTACCGGATGGTAAGGATTCACACGCGTGTGGTGCACGTATGGAAGCACMTTTTCAGAAATGGACTAAATCTCAAGCAATTAAATCCAATTCTCATCATTTTTAGATCAACRGCTTGCAAGAACTTGGATTTTCGTGTCAGCATTTGGTATTTCAAATGGAATGTGGGTCACAATCTTTCTTATTGGGACTGAGCTGTTCCCTACCGTTCTGAGGTAAACGGCATACTTAGTAAACCAAAAGATCATTCGTTTAGAGTACATTCAACAAAATATTACTTTTTCATTGGTCGAAAGGAGTACAATTACTGCGTTAATTGCAGCTCCTTATAACATTTTTTTCGCTGAATGTACTATAAACAAAAAATCGCACAGCCTCTCGTACAATTTGGAATTAATAGACACTCGTAATGTTTTGCGAGTAATGTTTTGAAAGTTCTTCGTAATTGCACGAGCCCGAGGTCGTGTGATTTCCTATACTATTAACACGACGTCATCATAATTTTCATCATGACTTCATTATGACTTCATGACGTCATTATAACGTCGTAAGTCAGACACATTGTCATAATGACATAACCTTGACATCACAATAGTCATGGCATAATCACGTATACCATTCTTATCGTGACATCACTATCGACAGCATAATGATGACGTCACCATGACGCCATAATATTCATGACATCATAATTGTCATGTTATTACTACGATAGTCTTGAAGTTAATTATTATCATAGAGTCATTGTCATAACTTTTTGTGGTGGGAACTAGCGGTAAACTAGTGTGAGCTGCGTCGGTGTTTCTAAAGAAACAGTTGTGTAAAAAAGATAAATTTAACACCGTAAAAAAGTATGTGAAATAACTTACTGACGTTTCGGACGTTAATCCTTCGTCGGAGTAAAGAGATGGAAATAGGTATAGTGTGAGTTTATATAGTAAGAGTAGCAAAGAAAATAGACTTTTTATAACCGTTTCATAGTTATAGCATCCTTATTGTTCAGTTTGATGTTTTTTTATGTGTTTATACAGGAGTACAGCGGTAGGCACTGGATACACAGTTGGTCGTGCTGGCGGCATTTTGGCTCCCTACGTAGCAATACTGGTACGTTAACAGTCGCTTACGGCGAAAGGATGCATGGGCATTATTATCAGGTCTTATATATAGGATAGCCGCGACAAGATGGCTTCCGTATTGTAATGAAAATGAGCCATGCACCCAGATAAAGCACAGGCAACCCTTAAAACTAATTAAAGTTATTTTTTTATTCAGGGCCAGCTTCCAGGTCTCACCATAACTCTACCCATGACCATCTTCGGCGCCGTTGCCATCGCAACATGCATAGCAACACTATGGTTACCAGAAGCGAGCCATTCTAAAATGCACCAAACCATCGAGGAAGAAGAAAACGCAMCAGAATTTTACTACATGCCTTGTTTTAGGAAAGGRAGAAGGCCTGGTGAACAGGAAAAAGATGAAGACCAAGATGGCTCCGAGAAATCCGTTTCAAAGTCATTGTTAGATATGCCAGTTGAGTCTCGATGTTCAAGTGTTTGAACCATCACGTAAAGTGCGCCTTGTACTGTAAAATATATATCAGTAATAACTAAAATGAAGTAAACATTATGTCACCAAGTCCTAAGTTGAGCCTTTGACTTTAAGGTTTTGCATGGCTAACCTTTGCTGCAGCCGTTCTTGCTCATCACATCAGAATCAGAAATTACCAACTTTTTAATTACTTTTTTTATGAAACCGAGCATGAAATTTTTCAGCTGAATGACTTATCAATGATTGATAAGCTGGTTACTTCTGATTCAAGGATAATGAACATCACTGTACACACACTATAGCCTCAGTTCATCTCAAGTTATTTTGTTCTTTTGGGATTCCTCTGGTATCCTCTTGGCCGAGTGGTTATCAGTTTCCCTCGGTGATAATTGAACAAAACAGGAAGCCGAAGAGTGGAAAGTAGGCGTCGGAGGCTGTACGCGATACTCAGTGAATAGGCCATTTGCATGATGGCGTAACTTTACTACAACTACHAGAAAGCCTTGCRCATTTKCTTTGTTATTCAGATTTTTAATCCCCTTAGCGATTAGTAAAACAATTGGCACTAATTGCATTACAAAAGAAAGTGGGCAAAGCATTCTGGTAGTTGTAGTAAATGACGCCATAATGCAAATCGCCTATTGCTGATGATTTCCTTCATTTTATACTAAAGAGTCCGGGTAACATTTGGAGGGAAAATCATAGTGTTATTCGATACCACCGGATGCTTATTCGCTAGTAAATTTACCTCTACACTGCTGTGACCACAAATCTGACAAATCACTGCCAGATGTGAAAGAAAGGGTCATTAGTCGGGCAAGCCGTAAAAAGAAAATACCGTCGTCTCGAAAATAATTATTAAACGAATATCTACAAAACAACAACAACATGACAATAACAACTTTATTTCAGTTAAAAAGAAAGAAAGAAAGAAAAAAGAAAGAACTTTTCAGACGTGCTCAAGTCGAATCGAACATGGGCCCCTTAGATTATGTGTTGCTTGGGCGACGTGGCAAAAAAAAAAAAAAATAATAATAAATAAAATAATACTGTCGCTGCATTTTTTATAACCGTGCCTCAGGCCTTTGGCCTGGACACGGTAAAAAAAATATTTTAGGATACCTGATATCTTTCTCGAGGGTATTATCAACTCGTACTAATTCTAAGGATATCTAATTTTCAATATTTCAGTGTTTTGTGTCGTTTTTTTTCTCGTTTTTACCAAGTTTGTTAAACTTGAGCTTCGCTCTTGTTATAAAATTATATATATTTATGATACAGATGAATTCTAACGCGCGCTCTGATTGGCCAAAAAAGTGTGGTTTATGAGAGTATAAACCACGATTGTGCGCGAGCGATTTTTGAAAAAAGCAACAAAATGGATTTTTGATGAAGTTTTGTTCAAAATCTATGTAATAAAACAAATAAATAAGCCTCAGCCCGGCTGAGCCTTATTTATTTGTTAAATAGTGTTATATATAATATCCTGTCTTTCTCAATTTTCAAAAATAGCTAGCCCGACTTCACGCTCTATTAGCGACTAGTTCTCATTATGATGACTCGAGGCATCATTCACTCGGGCTTCCTTAGTAACAAAATACCGACAATTCTTAGACAATCATGTCAATCTCCATAATTAATCGGCCGGTGAAGCATTACCAAAGGTCTTAATTAAATCTCGCAATGAACGCTTTTTTTAATTCTTTTAACTGATTGTTTCATTTTAAGTATTTCCTTGTCAACCTTGTTTTTTTTATTGGTTTCTCTTTTCTTATTTGTCATTTTATAAACTCAATTTCTTT